TGAAGAAGTTCCTAACGTTATTTCAAATATGGATTAAACGCTCATTTCAGTTCGGATTGGGAAAATTCCAAAACTACAATCAAGTATGAATGTTGGTTTATAAGGTTTTTCATTTTTTTCGATTTTTTTCACTTCCAACAACAACTACAAACGAATTCTTTTACATATCTCAACTGTCTGCCACCCCGTTTTCTCGGTGCATTGGAAATTTGTGAGCACTACAAACAACTACAAACGATTTTAGACAGGAATCCGAGCTCATTCTGGCTATAGCTTTCAATCAGTTCCTACTTGGTCTTCAAAAATCGATTGGATGCACATTTGATTTCCAATTGCGAAAATTCCAAAACTACAATCAACTACAAACGATTTTAGACAGGAATCCGAGCTCATTCTGGCTATAGCTTTCAATCAGTTCCTACTTGGTCTTCAAAAATCGATTGGATGCACATTTGATTTCCAATTGCGAAAATTCCAAAACTACAATCAACTACAAACGATTGCAGATAAGAATCCCACGTCTTTTCAAATACAACTATGAACTAGTTCCTAACTGTTGAAAAAAATCGATTGAACTTTCATCACGATTCCGATCGTGGAATTCCCAGAACTACAATCAACTACAAACGATTGCATACGAGAATCCAATGTCACTTCAGCTGTAACTATGAAATAGTTCCTAACTGTATTTCAAAAACGGATTGAACGCTCATTTCAGTTCGGATTGGAAAAATTCCAAAACTATAATCAAGTATGAACGTTGGTTCATAAGGTTCTCAATTTTTTCGATTTTTTTCACTGTTAGAAACAACTACAAACCAATCCTTCTACATATCTCAATCGTCTACTACCTTTTTTTCTCGGTGTATTGAAAATCTGTGAGTACTACAAACAACTACAAACCATTTTAGACAGGAATCCGAACTCATTTTGGCTATATCTGTCAATAAGTTCCTACTTGGGCTCCAAAAATCGATTGGATGGTCGTTTGAGTTTGAATTGGAAAAATTCCAAAACTGCAATTAAGTATGACNACAATTAAGTATGACCGTTGGTTCATAAAGATCATCTTTTCTTATTGATTTTTTTCACTGTTAGAAACACCTACAAACGAATTCTTCTACATATCTCAACTCGACACCACCCTTTCTTCTCGGTGCATTGAAAATCTGTGAGTACTACAAACGACTACAAACCATTTTAGACAGGAATCCGAGCTCATTTTGGCTATAGCTGTCAGGAAGTTTCTACTTGGGCTCCAAAAATCGTATGGATTGTCGTTTGACTTTGAATTGGAAAAATTCCAAAACTACAATTAAGTATGACCGTTGGTTCATAAAGATCTTCTTTTCTTATTGATTTTTTTCACTGTTAGAAACACCTACAAACGAATTCTTCTACATATCTCAACTCGACACCACCCTTTCTTCTCGGTGCATTGAAAATCTGTGAGTACTACAAACGACTACAAACCATTTTAGACAAGAACCCGAGCTCATTTTGGCTATAGCTGTCAGGAAGTTTCTACTTGGGCTCCAAAAATCGATTGGATGCTCGTTTGAGTTTGGATTGGAAAAATTCCAAAACTACAATTGAGTATGAACGTTGGTTCATAAAGATCTTCTTTTCTTTTTGATTTTTTTGACTGTTAGAAACACCTACGAACGAATTCTTCTACGTATGTCAACTCTACACCACCCTTTTTTCTCGGTGCATTGAAAATCTGAGAGTACTACAAATAACTACAAACCATTTTAGACAGGAATCCGAGCTCATTTTGGCTATAGCTATTAACAAGTTCCTACTTGGGCTCCTAAAATCGATCAGATGCTCATTTGAGTTCGTGTTGGGAAAATTCCAAAACTACAATCAAGTATGAACGTTGGTTTATAAGGTTCTTCATTTTTTTCACTGTTAGAAACAACTACAAACAAATCCTTCTACATATATCAACTGTCTGCCACCCCGTTTTCTCAGTGCATTGGAAATTTGTGAGCACTACAAACAACTAGAAACGATTTTAGACAGGAATCCGAGCTCATTCTGGCTATAGCTTTCAATCAGTTCCTACTTGGTCTCCAAAAATCGATTGGACGCTCATTTGACTTCCGATTGCTAAAATTCCAAACTACAATCAACTACAAACGATTGCAGATGAGAATCCAATGTCACTCCAGCTCTAACTATGAAATAGTTCCTCACTGTATTTCAAAAACGAATTGGACACTCAATTTCAAACTACAAACAAGAAAAACATTACTATTATCACGAGTAGCTCAAAATCTATCAATTATGAAATTTTGGTTCAAATCCAACCAAGTGGGGTGCCCACTTCACGGAGCTATCTTCAAGAGGTAACGGTACCCCTTGCTTGTGCTGAATTTTAGAATCGTCCTGGGGGGCGATTCAGATAATCGTGCGACGGCGGTGGCGACGGTTGGTGGGACGGTGGGGGGCACGGAGCGTTTTCGGATTGAGTTTCTGAGTTTTATAATGATGAATAGGAGATAGCGCTGTCCGTCAGTTTTTAGATTGGAGAGCAAATGAGGTTAATGAAATTTGAGATGGAAAATTGTTAATTAAAAATAATTAGGACTCGTCTGAGAATAATAAGAGTTGGATTGAAGTTATACTGATTATCTGATAATAATCGCCGAGACATTTGGATGGTCTTAGGTGACCGGAATTGGTTAGGTGTTTTGTGCTCCAAAAAGTGAAAATTCATCATTAAATTGGATTCAAATCAAATGGTAAGTTTGTTTTTTTATTGATAATATTCATTTTTACAATCTGAAAAAGGTTTTTGATGATGGCGCATGTATTTTGGGGAACAGTATAGTCATCATCTTTGGGCATTTCCGATGCTGATGTGCAGCCGCATTATCTGATGTATATTGGTCTCTTCGAGGATCTCATCGAACGCAATAGCTTCCTCGAGAAAACAACCAGCATAATACACCTGGATAAAATGGAGAGCTCGCTTTGGAGTGAAGTGAAACATATTATATTCGTCACATATGCTGTTCGAGCTATTGATCTCATCACCTGCTACTGAAGTGACTCTCATGGAGAGACTCGACAGGCCCTAAGATATCCCTCTCTCAACTGTCATCAGTCGTATCGTTAGACGACTAGAAACCTCTACTCTACTGAGCTAATAAGCCAGAGTCTGATGCAGGTGCTCCAGATGTTCACAAGAGACGAGGATCCCCTGAAAGGTATCTCCACGGAGACAGTCAAGGAGAGGACAGCCCCAACAGTCAAGCATGCCCAATGACAAGCTCAGTGGCCCCCTGGCATTGCATTCACTAGCCAGTCTGCCCTTGCCTCCAGGTGAGAAAGGAGAGAAGCTGGAGAAATCCCCTCAACTCAAGAGTCTCTTCTACCTCCTGGACTGCTACACCATAGTCTCAAGTGAGAGGAGAGACAAGCCAAAACATTCATCACGGTACGCCCCACGGGCCCATACATCCTCAGTCTCTGGTGCCTCCCAATCCCAGTTCTCTCCCAGACATTACTTCGAGGCTTCGAGGGATAAAGGCCGTATAGCCAATGTAGCTGGAGCCATAAAAAAGAAGAAGAAGAAGACTTCGAGGCTTCCTCCACAAACTCGTCACCAGAACCCATTTCAACCCCCAGACATTCAACAAAATCTTCATTTTACTTCTCCAATGGCTCAATCTATTCATGCAACCAGGTACCAAGGTACCAATGGCAACATCAGACAAATCTATGGACTCATCACTCATCAGCATGACAACTGCTATGGGAAGGGAGTTGTTTCGTACCTCATTCCTTGGACCGTTTCTATCAATCTCCGTGTTAGCTGAGGATCAGCCCAAAGTGGCTGTAAAGTCCACCAGTGGAAATCCATCGAATGACGAATCAATAAACTTGACATTATGAACAATCTGTAACAACTTTGTTCGCTTTCATGTGTACCATTTTGGTGGGACGGGATGGGGGGTTGGAGGAGGTAGGGAGGGAGGCGAATGGAAATAATTTTATCTGATGAACAATTCCTTTGCTAAGCCGTGATATAGGCAATTATTTATGATTATAATCGGGGAGGAATCTAGATTTTTCCCAACCAAATTCTCACTTTTTACTCATGTCATTTCTATTAGAGAGAATGAACGAAGTGCCAAGAGAGGTAAACAGATAAAAATAACATCATCATTTTTCTATGACCGGGAAGGCGCCCAAATTGCATATTTTTGCTTCCGAATGGAAGCATTGTAATCGTCCTAATCAAAGTTTCTAGTTTTTTGTGCTAGGATGACTAATTTTGGGCTCAGGAATCCGAACCTGATGTTTTTAGAACATGTATGCACATATATGTATGTATGTATGTATGTATGTGTGTGTATGTAACCATGCAGTTTTTTCATGATTTGGAAAAAAATATACGACTAAAGCGACTAACTCCGGACTCAAAATACTCGTTATCATGATATACAGACCGAGTTCGAAGATGGTGTCTAAACCCATTTTAGTTTGTGAATTATTTGCTAAAATTCGCCAGTTGATATGACTTAGTCAGAACTTAGTCGGGATTTAGACATGGTTGAATTGGGGCTCAGTTAGTGTTTAGTCACGATTTTGTCGGGGCTTAATCAGAGTTTAGTCGAAATTTAGTCAGGATCTAGTGATAATTTAGTGATAATGTGATCAAAGTACTCTGTCAAATATTAGTCAAACATCCTTGAAGGATGAGTTCTCTAGTTGAATAAAAGAATTTATCTGACTAACTGTGGATATTACTTGATTATGTCAACCCCGAAAAACCTATCAATTGCACATTTGATCTCACAAAACCATTTGATCTCACATTTGATCTCACAAATCATTTTACTAGAGCGAGTATAGTTCTCATGACAACGAAAAATGTGCTCCTTTATTTTAAAAATCAAATTCATGACAGACACAATGGAATTTATGAAGGAAAGAGAACCGAGTGATGCAATTTTTAATCAACGCATGCGGTAAAGTCTGTAATGTTATTCACGCTCAAGTTTTTGTAGACGTTTGAATTCTGCGTAATCCCAAACTAAATCCATCAGCTCGATCAGCCGGGTACGCTCATTGTTAAGCAACAAATTGATCCGCAACTCAACCGCCTCATGGTACAGTTCGCCCAATGATGGTCGGTGAGCTTCAGCTTGTGGGTGACTAGCACCAGCCCTAGAGGTAGAGGGACCTGTTGCAGTTGTTGGCGGTGTGTAATTTGCACCAGCCCTATGGTTAGAAGAACCTGATGCAGCTGGAGCCATTGAGCGTCTTGCACCAGCCCTAGAGGTAGAGGGACCTGTTGCACGAGCCCTAGGGTTGGAAGAACGTAATGAAGCCGTTGGGTGACGTGCTTCAGTCACAGTCATAGAGGCAGCTTTAGTAAGCGGTTGATGCGCTCCAGCCCTAGAAGTGGACGATCCTGCTACACCTTTGACCAGTGGACGACATACTCCAGCGCTAGAGCCTGAGGGACCTGCTTTAGCAACTGAGGCATCTAATCCTGGGTGAATAGATCTCGTTTGGGAGATCGAGGGACCTGCCTGAGCTGCAACTGAAGGCTCTGTGTGATATGGGCAAGCGGAAGACTGAGCTGTAACTGTAGCTAGGGGACGAGCTGATGATTTTGGAAGGCGAGCAGGAAGTGTTGAGGGCTGAGCTTTCGATTCAACTGAGCGACGAGCTATTGAGGACCGAGTGACAAGTCCAGAATGCATTGAAGAGTTCTTTTGAGCTGTCATTCTTCGTTTCTTCTGATCATTTTCCGGGTGATCATTTTCACCGTTCCTTCGCTTTGTGAGTGTTGCAAGCCTCCGTAGGATTGAATCACTCAATTGAACTAGAATAAAAAATAAATAACCTCATGAAAATTAAATGATCTCGTTCAGATTTTGAAGGATTATTCAGAACGTTTTACCTTTTAAAGTTTGGTATATTTCCAATAATCAAATTTTCCAACTGAATGACACAAAAAAAATTTTTTTGAGAAGCGCCATTCAAATTTGTTTTTGCACAGAATTATCATTTTTCCAAACAATTCCTCCTTATACATGAAAATGAAATGAAATAATAAAATTGACGGATGAAATAAAATGTCCGAAAACTTGAAGGCTAATCGGGCTCAGTTGAGGGCTCTAATGTTCAACTACAATAGTATAAAAGCATTTCGTAGAAACAAAACAAACGGAGTACTTGGATATGCTCAAGTCTATTTCGACTATCAGCCAATTTTGGGTCAACACATTGAGATCTAAGGGAGATAGCAAAATTTTCATCATCACCTTTTTGTAGTTCTCAAAATGCTCTACAGAATAGGTCGTTGCGAAAAAATAGTTTTCTCCCTCAAATACGAGGATATTTCTCAAAAACTCCGCTAAGAGCCAAGCCGACTTGACTTAGTTTACTGCTTCGCTGCTGAATTGAGGTAGACTTACGCGACTCATCACTACTGCTATCACTGTCGATGTCAGTGCTGGATATATAAATGACCCCGATCTGCAAGTCTCCGTGAGTCATTCCTCTAGAGGTTTGAGAATCATTCACCCTGTCAGCTTCTCTGGAAGTTCCTCCCTGTTCCTCACACTCCGTCTCGGCTTCCTGTATCTCTCGACAAATTTCTAGGAAACGAGGACTCGGGATTATCGTCTCATCTAGAAATAACAATTACCTTATTAATTGGCTTATTCTCACCATTTTCTACGTACTTCCATAAAGAAAATGAGGAACATACCGGCCTCACGGTAAAAATAGTGAATCTCCTGTCCAGATTCATCATAGTCGATCAAGACTGTGTCTTCAGTGTCTAGGACTGGTATAAAATTATCCATTGCCCCTTTTACACTTCGATATTGAGAAAGTCAACGGTGAAACCGAAACACTCGCGAATGGTGTCAACCGACGTATGAGAAATAAGAAGATCGCAATGGAGGTGTACAAACAATTGAATCTCCAAGAACGCAGGGGACGAAGCCCGCTAGTTTAATATATTTTGAATTTCCGTTATAATTTCTCTCATAAAATTTTTATGTTGTAACCTTCTGCCGCTAATTTTCTGGAAGAAATTCAAATTTATTGACATTTCCCTGTTGAATATCTAATAGAATCAGCGCGAAATGTGAATAGAAATTTTCCGTAGAATCCCAATAGAATTTTCTAGCGAGTTGAACAATTCTAGTTGACTTTTTGGTGATTTTTAGAGGATTTCTCCAATTCATGTGAATTTTCCCTGTTGATAAATTAATGGAATTGTTCATTGACGCCCATTTATGACCATCCCATTCGCAGAGTGCCTGTCTATTTGAATTCATCATTGATTTCTCTGATTGACTTAAAAAATTTTAATAATCGTTAAACCAATTTAAGTAGTCCCTATTCAAAGTTAGGATTTATTAGGATGATTTTGGAAAAAATACAAATCTGTAACATTTTTGATCATTACATTATTATAATCAGTACATCATCGATAAATGACATAACAAGTCATATGCAGAAATGACAAGACGTCAAGAAATAAATCAAATGCTCTCAATCTCATCCTCACGAAGCCGCTCTATTTCTTGAAAAAAAAACCCTCTAATCAAATGAAATTTCTATTGAAATTTCCATTGAAATTTCATTTCATTTAAAAAAATTTGAAATTAGAAAAAAATGTGCCCTCAAAATAACTTATCCTCAAGGAGACACTTCATCCCCTGAAAAGAAAACACTCTGATCTCGCGAATTGTCGTTTGAAATGAGGAATAAAAGAAAAAATCATCCCCCTTGAAACCCTATCAGGAAGTACCTGCTCCTCAACGAAAAAAATCCCATTTATGAAATTTGATTTAGCAAATCAACAAGAGTGCCATTCATTTCATTGAGAGCAGAGAGGAGTTCCTCGTGCCTCTGCCCTTCAGCTTTGAATTTCTCCTGCTCGAAGTCAAAAATTTTCAAATTCAGCTCCAATTTCCTCTTCCTGTATTTTCTTGCTGCTTCTGACTCTTCTTTTTTGCGTTCCATTTTACTTCCCAACAATTCCACCGCAGTTTTGGCTGGATCCGAGATTTTTGTAGCTGAATTCATAGCTTTGGTTGTAACGTGATGCTTATCGGACGTCTTCGCTTGGGCCTCATGAGATGTCTTATCTTGAAATTTATCAGATGTCTTCAGTTGAGGCTTATCGGAGGTCTACTCTGGAATTGAATGTTCCAAAGATCAAATGATGAAATTCAAATTAATTCAGTGATCAAGATTTATAGGAAATCTCTAAAAAGGTGGGGTAAAATTGCTAGTGAATTTTCTCATGCTTGGATCAGGTGAAAGAAATTCGAGAAAAAATTACCTGGACCATGGCTTGCATTGTCATCTGACCATTGTTCTGGAGGATCAACGTCCCAGGAATCAATGTACTTCTGTTGAAGATTCGTGAGAATATATATATATATATACAAATTTGGATAATGTAGAGAAATTTCTCCAATAGAAAAAAATGTCTCACGGAAATATCAGGAAACTCCTCCACTTCATCCAGTTGTTCCAGGTTAACGTACGATGGTTGGCGTTTAAGGTCTGCATGATGAGTCTCGTTTGGCCCCAATCGCTTCAATCCCTTATCGTGCTTGTGCTGATTCGAGGATTTGGACAGTCGATATTGTTCATCACCAGAATTCTCCAAGTTTATGAAAAAGTCTGCTCTTTCACGCAGAGAAGATCGATCGGATATACATGAGCCATTCTTGTCGTGAGTGTCCCTTCCATTGTGCCTCAAGGAATTTTCACTAGGACGACTGGAGGAACCTTTCGCACCATAGGTGTGGAATGAGCTGCGCTGATATTTGTCCAAAGGACAATGAGTGACGTCATTGGTGGGAAAATTGGGTGGAGGTCTCGCTGGATTAATTGTGTTGAATACATTTGCTGAACGGAAGGATGATTTAACAAAGCTGTGCAGTGGATTTTTATTGTAGGCACCAGATGTGCATGTGGCCGTCTTCACCGTACGGTTGTTCTCCATACGCATCCTCTTTTGAGCAGGTTCATAGCCTCGAGCGAAAGAAGAACGACTCGATGATGGGAAGCCGCCCTCTTCAATATTGGGCATGCCATAGGATTCAGGTCCCAACAAATCCAGCAATTCCCTCTCCAACTCATCCAGCTCCTCGAGAAGGGGATCACCTCCGCCTGTACCCCCAGCGTGTCGTCTGAGTTTCGCTGCCTTGGTCGTAACAGTTCTTTTCCAATCTTTCCAAGACTGTTAAAAATGGATTTGATTAATTTAGTTTATGATCAGCACTTTGGAAAAAGTTTAATTATTCACCCTCATGGCTTGCTCTCCATCCTTCCTCATCACTCCACCATCTGCTGCGTTTATCGCAGCAGCCAAACCATCTTTTAAAGCTTCCTAAAGAATTCAAATTGATATTTCGTGATTAATTGATGCTCCAATATGAAATTGTATATCAAAGTCGAATTCAATTGATTTTGTCAATAGAATATTTTGTAAATTGATGATATTAAAAAAGGGTTCTGACGATTCCTCTTGAGTTATCTCTTGAATAGTCTCGAGATAAGTACTAGTAAAAAATGATTCCATCCTTGTGTTATTAAAATTTTGGGAGAAACAATGTTTTTTTCTTTCCAGCATAAATATTAGAAAGAAAAAGGCTGCGGGCGAGTGAAAACAAAATGAGGAGGAAGTTGCATAATTTTCAATACAACTAACTCAAAAAAATAATGGAATAGCAAATCAATAGAATACCTTAGAGAATCTACTGGAAACGAAAGACATGTTGTGAGTTGAATTCTAATGGGATGAATTGAGTAATGAGTGTTTTTCATTTTTTCCAAATATCCATGCATGCTTTAAGGGTGTTGTCAGGGTCAGAAATATTGAATTCATCAACGAATTCACCCATTGAACTTCGCAAACTAAAGAAAAAACATAATTTTATTAACTCNGTTTTTTTCTTTCCAGCATAAATATTAGAAAGAAAAAGGCTGCGGGCGAGTGAAAACAAAATGAGGAGGAAGTTGCATAATTTTCAATACAACTAACTCAAAAAAATAATGGAATAGCAAATCAATAGAATACCTTAGAGAATCTACTGGAAACGAAAGACATGTTGTGAGTTGAATTCTAATGGGATGAATTGAGTAATGAGTGTTTTTCATTTTTTCCAAATATCCATGCATCCTTTAAGGGTATTGTCAGGGTCAGAAATATTGAATTCATCAACGAATTCACCCATTGAACTTCGCAAACTAAAGAAAAAATATAATTTTATTAACTTTTGCTTCAAAACTAATAATCCGAGATGGAAATTTCAAATTTGAATCTAAGTTTTCAACGGAATACTAGGAAAAAAATTCTCGAAGTGATGAGTCTACCGAATGAATCAATTTTGATGTTCTGTTTAGAAACAAACTCACCAGTTTCACCTTCGAATTAAAAGCCGAGTCTGTTATCAGACCAAACTCCAAAGCAGGATTTTCCTTCATATAATCCAACGCTGCTCTTCTGTGTATATCCTTCATTCGTGCCATGATTGAAGTTTGATATCTCAATGTGTGAATGGAGATTGNAAAAAAAACTCGGATTGAAACATGGAAGAGGGACTTTCCGCTTGAAAAAGCACCCTCTTCAATATCCTTCAAGGAAAAGGATCGGTTCGCGGCACACCCTGTATATCAACTAGTGATACTCACAACTTGTACGTTCAAGGAATGACTATGCTTCCTGTTGAAGAAGTGAGTCTCTCTAACTCCCGCTGGCTTCACAATTGACACATGGGTTCCATCAATCAAACCCATTACACCGGGGAATCCCCATTTCTTCCAGAATCTACCCGAAATGATATTCTATTTAAAAAATTACACAGGCAACTTTTTTCTTACTTCATGAGCTTCAATCAATTTTATTAGCAGTATGCTTCCGGATGGCATTCGATGTCTACTCGCCTCCGATCAATTTCATCACTCGATATTGAAGGAGAGAAGAAATAGAAGAAGAACCCACAATTCGAATAGTTGATACTTGCTGAAACTTTTTTGAGGGGTTGAGGGGATGTTTAGAATCAATTTTCAGTTGGAAAATTCTTGTGGGCTATGACACCCTGGATGTGAGAATTACTTTTGTAGAATATTAATCAAAATTTTGACTTCTAAGTGACAAACACCGACCATTCGAACCGAAAACTCACGTGGGAAATGATACCCTGGGTGTGAGAATTGTTCTCGTATAATAATTATTGCGTTTCAAATGATCCAACATCATCTCCAAGCAAAATTAGAGAATGTTGAAATCAGACGATAGCAATTCTCCAATTCGGAAGCAAAACAAGCAGGGGTTGGGGCTTTCAAGTGCATCGCCTTTTACCTTATTAATGATTTTTGTCTTACATTTCCACCAATTTTATTGGTAGTTTGCTTCCGAATCGATCCGTATGTATGACCAGTCGTTTTCGAGGTATTCGCAAAAAATCTTTTGGGTACAAAATTGAATATCTCATCAACTACTAGTCCGATTTGACCCACCTTCGAAAGCAATTGTTGTTATACTAAGAGACAACTTTATGCCAAACCTCAAGTTGATATATTGATTTTTACGGAAATTAGAGTGCACACAACGATTTTAGCGAAAAAACAGAAAAGTAGAAATATCTCGAAAACTTTGTGAGGACGGGTATATATGTTTTACTTGATCTATATAGAGGGCATCGAGACGAAGATTTTGAGAGCTGAAAAATTGAAATCGGCCCAGTCGTTTTTTGAGAAATTTGCAAGAAACTATACAATAACAAATCGTTTTTCCTCAAAAACTATTGGACCGATCGAGCTAATCTTATGCACAGAGTTAGTCCTTACTAACACCTATAATCTGACAAAATTTTGGATCATTTGGAATTACTTCAGTCCTTTATTCGTTTTATTTTCTAAAAGTTGATCATAGGCTCAAGCGAACTGACGACCCGCCCATACAGACACGGTGCTCAAACTTTGTATTTTTACGTTGCTGACCATTCTACATCATTTCCAAGTAAAATTAGAAAATCCGAAAATCGACCGATTACAATGCTTCCGATTCGGAAGCAAAAAATGAAAGAAAATGATTCATAATGGCACAGTCAACGCAGATTGTTTTTTTTCCAGGATCTGGGTTTGTCAGAGTTTGGATACTTAGAGTTAATTGATATCATCAAATTATTCATAGCCAACCCTGTTTGAATCCGCTCAATTTCTTCAATTGTATTCGGGAAATGAATCCATCGGTGCATAATTTGATTCAAAGCCTCAACAACTCTATGCAGGTAGCGACTGACAGAAGTCTGACTCATGCATGCCAAGAATCCACCAACTTTTCGCTGATAAGATCCCCCTGAGAAGAAGTCCAAAGCGGCGAGGACTTGGAAATGAATGGGAATCGCATCTTGTCTATTGGCTTGTGGTAAAACCGGAGTCATCTCCTCAATGAGAGACATTGCACCCCATTTAGTGAATCTAGAAAATGATGGGCACGAACAATAAACGTTATTTTGGATTTTAAAAAGTCTTAAAATAAGATTTTCCAGAAGTCTCAACGTTTCAGTTGAATCTCATGCTTCTTCGATGTTCTTTCACCGGCACGGATGATTCACTGTATTTTTTACCTATCTGAATATCTAATTTCGGTTACTAGTTTGAGATGTCGTCGGTTGGATTAATCAATTTTTTTCTAGAAATGAACAAACAATTGTTTTCACCAATTTTTTTCATATTTTGTTATAGAATACTATTGATATTCTTGATGATGTTTAGGGCCAATGGTCTTATGGTTTTCACGAAGAAATACCATTATAGGGTCTTAAGGGTTCCAAGAGTCCCAAGTGCCGTGTACAAACACAGAATACTTGTTTGCTGCAATTACATTTACATTTATAGGCGTATGACATAAAGGGTCGAATGAATACAAGTTCAGTCCAATAATTCGCTACCTGAAAAGTCTGATGAATTCTCCTTCTGGGATATCGAAAGGATTGACCATGTCACGGATCTTCCGGCGATATAATCGTAGTTGATAATTTATTCTTCTTCTCCTTCTTCCTCTGGCTCGGATTAGGCCATTCCCCAAAAGTAACCCGATGATTTCATCCATTTGCCTATGATGTAGACATCATTATTGAATACGTCTTTCGGGTTGTAAAAATGAATATTATCAATAAAAAAACAAACTTACCATTTGATTTGAATCCAATTTAATGATGAATTTTCACTTTTTGGAGCACAAAACACCTAAACAATTCCGGTCACCTAAGACCATCCAAATGTCTCGGCGATTATTATCAGATAATCAGTATAACTTCAATCAAACTCTTATTATTCTCAGACGAGTCCTAATTATTTTTAATTAACAATTTTCCATCTCACATTTCATTAACCTCATTTGCTCTCCAATCTAAAAACTGACGGACAGCGCCATCTCCTATTCATCATTATAAAACTCAGAAACTCAATCCGAAAACGCTCCGTCCCCCCCACCGTCGCCACCGCCGTCGCACGATTATCTGAATCGCCCCTCTGGTGCCCATAGTTATGAATTTTTGGCAACCAAAAAACTTCAGACACTGTACAATATAGTAATGGTGTGATTGAGGTTTTTTGGTTTCCAAAAATTAATAACTATGGACACGAGGAAGATTATAAAATTCAACAAATTCAAGGGTATCGTTTGCCCTTAAAGGGATTATGAAGCATTCCCGCGCTCACATACCTACTGATACATAGAGATAAAAGTCACGGTGCCAAATACTTTGGACTAGTCTATTCATTCAAAATGAAGAATATTTTATTCAGAGAGATAGTATCCTTAGAACGAAATATGTTTGTTTGATGAAGGATGTACTAATCGTAAGAAGACATTCTTTTCTACTACTTAATAAAAAATTACACTACAAAAAAACTCATTTTCAAACAGTTTCCTAGCCTCCTACTTTCGACCCCACTTCTATCGCTTTTTCTAGGTGGCGCCTCCCGCTTTTTTTAGAAAGGACCTGGCCACGCTGCGATATATATTCATATATATATACCGTTGTAGCTGTACAAGTCTTTAGATTTTGGGAAGCTTAAATAAAAAAAAATCGATTTGTAGATTCCCGAGCTCCCTCCCTCGTACATGTTGTTCTATTGTACTGCTACCAACTTAGTCACAAAAAATGGGAGCGGGAGATAATGTAAAGTATGAGAATGTTTCTATCAGCACGTTGCAATGGGCGTAATTTTTTAAATATTGATTCGAAAAAAAATTACAGCATTCAAAAACTTGTCGCCGATTTATATAATGTAACTACGAGTATTTTTCATATAGCTTGTGACAGTTGTATTTTATTTACTGGATATAATTTGGAATGAGCGGAGGGAGTCGCTCCTTTATGTATAGACACTGGCGTTCGGCCAGTTTTGCACTGTTAAAACTTTTTCTTGGCTAATCGGCTGCAGCATACTTCGATCTGCTGAAGATTTCTATTCAAAAATGCGCCGTAAAAATGCAGGATTTTTCAATGCAATCTGCGAAAAACGAATCGCATTTTCAATAGAAGTTAAAACAAATTTTCTTGCGAGTGTGCTCGATTTCTCTATGAAATTTTTTCGTACGTGTTCCATTCTTTTAAAATCATTAAATTGATTATGTCACTGAATAATCTTTCATCTGATATGGAGATGGAGGCTTATACCTTGTAATTCACGGATAATCACTCTGCCCCTACCTCATCCCATTTTATGCTCCCACCCACCAAATGTATAAACGAGCCAATCTACTCCCTTTTATACTGACAATCAGTTCTTGATTACTGAACGTGTGTACAGTACATCGCACTATACAGGGTGTCTGATTTGAAAACGTACGGTGAAATAATTCTTCAAAGAGGGCAGTAATCGGGAAAAACTTCCAAATGAAAGTTATAGGATTGGAAGGGGGACAACTGATGCAAAGTATGTTCCGAACATAAATGGTCAGGCTTTTATGCTGCAAGTTATGCTGTATTTTTTTCAAAAGCAAACCAAAATTGACATCCCCTCAGCAGTTATTCTTCTTCATGAGATCAATTCAGCCATACCATGTGTTATGTCAAATATCAAATATCAAATTCAAATGGAAATACGGAAAAAATAATTGAGAGTGTCGATCCACGTTAAAAACGAGTAAAATTACAAACATTTCATATTTAGAGTAAAAATAACTTGGTTATTTATTTAAATTTCCAGTTAACGTTCAGTTATTATCGGATTTAGGGAAACTACGGTTACGGTTTAGAGTAAATTTACGGTCATTCGTATTTACTGTTTTATCTATACAATTTTTTTATCCACGCGAATTCTGAGTGGGACGAGTACCTGGTGTAGTTCGTGGCCGAGATACTGACAAGGAACACTAGGTAGGTGTTCCCCTCCGATTTCGATGGAACTTATATATGTTGTAGACGACTCAAAACTGAAGGACACGTTTTTTTAGCTGCCAATACGAGGTTTTAAGGGAGGAAACTAGCCTTGGAAGTTTTCCACCTCGTAGAGTGATTCTTCAATTCTCCCTATAAGAAGAGTGTTTTTGCGAATGTTCATTACGGTAATCAGTAGCTTATGAAAAGTGATAGAAACCGCAATTCATAGTTCGCAATTGATAGTTGAAACTTAGGCGGTAAACTATCCCTATGAATTTTTTTTGTAATATAATATGAAAAAAACTATAGCTTAGAATTTTATAAAACCAATTGCATTAGAAAGGCTACGAAAAAATACAGAATATCTGTTTTTGCATTTTCCCCGGAATCGAAAGTTATAAGGGGAAAAAAATTGTTTTTCGGAACTATTGCCGATCACAATGATGTCGTTATTTGTTCATTTCCCGCGAATTGTAGAGAGTGGATATCTATCAGATTCCTTTTCAAATTATAAAAATATGATACACAGCATACATTGGACCCGAAAGAAAATGACTTGACTATGGGTTCTTCATATGATTTCACCATGATCATAGAAACTCATATGGGCCATCTTACTGGAGGAAGCATTGGAAGGGATTTGGTCAGGAAGGATTGATCAATGAAATGAGGATTAACAAGTTACACTTATTGCGATATCTTTTAATTTCATTCGACTGCTTCATTCAAGGGTCTACGCCGGGCTATCTCTTCCGTAATTACTCACACACACAATGGCTCGCACTGCTCCACTCAAATACAACCGTACTCATGTAAAATATTAAAATTTATCCGTTGGATACCTCACAATTGTCAATCTGTGTATTCTATCATGGATTATAATCAGTACAGAAATGATATTCATCAAACAAATTATGCAAGCAGAGAGACCACCACGACACCACGACGGTGGTGTTCCTACACCACGAGCATCTGACTACTGCAACATTCGAACAACTTTCAATTTCACATTGCAAATTAGATGATTGTCCAAATGCAAAATCAACAGTATCGTCAAATTCCTCTGGTTTTTTTTTATAAATATAACCACTTTGGAACCAAGCAAAACGGAAAAGATTATGATACCTCAGTAGATAGGTAACAGCGGTTCAAAATCAAATGTGGGCGAGGGGCGGTAATGGGCAGGGCGGTCGCGCTCGCGGGCGGCGTTGGGGGCAGAGGGGTCGCGCACGTGGTACTCAGGCCCAGCGGACGCGGGGAGGGGGGTGTAGTGGCTCGCTACATCCTCACTGAGACGCGTATCGCACCGCTCTCATACACACGCACCTGAGGAACATACGCACTTCCCAGGTGTCGCAATCGCTCCCTCTTAGTAGTCGGGTGGCTCTCCCCATTCGGTGGACATCTCCACCTCACCTGTATATATAATACATTCATACCACCAACTCATCCTGTACATACTTATATCACGACAACAAACTAATTACTAGTTTGCAACCGTTGCCTCGCGTAATTGATTCGTTACCTTCCCGATCCAACACCACCTGGAATCCTACAGGGGCAGGGGTATTATGATTGTCCGGGTGCGCCATCTGTCGGTTGATGGGAGTCGGTAATGCAGAGTGTGAGAGCGCCAATCTCTAGGAAACTATGCCCGGCGAATTTTAGAATCCTGCATTCTGATATCTGAATGCTGCATACTACCATTTGAATGTTACATTCTGCCTTCGAATGCAACACAATGGTTTATTTAATTCTTGAATAATTAATGAGATTAATTTAGGAGATAAGAAAATTCATCTGCTTCATTTCCAACCTGATTGTTAGATTTCTTTCAGAGCTCAAGGAATTATTGAAAAGTTTGCACAATTGAATCATAGCGAAATATATAGCAACGGAATTATATTGTTCGTGAGCATTGCATTTTTAAAGTAGTGTTACAATTATTGCATCTTTTGAATGTTATTTCTTGGAGATGTTTGGCCTAGAGTAACTCGACACCGTGAAGATTGTCCATCCTCGCAAGGTGTTTACTTTGAAGAGCAACGAGATAACGTAACTATGGGTTCAAATGAATGTTGTATATATATATATATATATGCAGATGTATATATTGTGAGGTATTTTTCCAATCACGTATGCGGGCATCATACGTATGGTTCTTCACGAACTTTGGTCGCCCTGAATAGAACCTCTCCACCCGAATAAAGTACGAAGGTGATCAACGAGAGGAACCAAAAAAAAAACCAGAAGGGCGCCAGTTGTTTTAACCTTCAAAGGACAAGGTCACGATGTCGAAGCGCGTTGCACGACCAGCTCAGAAAACCGCGGAGGCGTGTGGGAACGGGCAACAAAAAAAATGATACACTCAATACCGTGTAAAATAAATCTATTCTAACAAAACAAAAATGATTGATTGAGGTAATTTCCCGAACTCGGTATAATCAAAAAATATTTTAAACTTAATTAACAATTTTCGAAAACAATAGTAATAATTGCCAAATCATAAACTCCAACTAGCGAAGACAGCTAAAGTAAATCGATTTAATCTCCAACAATCTTGGGAATTATTAACCAAACTAATTAAATGGCGTGGATGACTCCCGGACGCGAGGATCACCCGAACGCAACGACGAGGTGAGAGCCACGCGAACAAAGACCAAAGAAAAAAAAATACAGTTCACACAAAAAAAATCACAATAAAAAATCAACTAATGATCCATTAGGAAGACAATTTAATGAGACCAAAGGCCACTGAGTGCCACGTCTCACAGTATGACTCTGCTTAGTAAACTGAAACGGTGTCCACATGGCGACCGGAAGCTATACGTTAGAAAGCCACGCGAGCACAGTAGTTAAGTAATGCCGGTTCTGGG